TACAAATCAGCATCATCAACCAGACAGATCAGTGGATGATTTAAAGAAGACAAAACCAGATTTGTTTCAGGGTGCAATTGTATTGGAGTCTTGAACTAGGGAAGAAGAAAAGTGTTAAAGAAGAACAAGGCATGCATTGAATTATTTTGTGGATAAGTTTCCAAGAAGCAGTACAGCATTAGCATTGCTAATATAGGCAGGACTGTTGACAGTAAATAACATTCAGAAAGGTAAGAATTTATTTTCAGGTTGTGACAGCACAGCAGAAGGACCATCAGCATCTGGAATTGGGCAGGGTGTCTGATGATGAAGAAAAGAGAGAAAAAATTAAACAATATCTAAAGCCAATTCTAGCTTTTAGATAGTATGTGGAATGGCAGGCCAGGGAGTTTGTTTCTTTTTTATTGTTCTCTGGGTCACCAAGGGGGATATTTACTCTCTTTATTTGTCTTGATGACCATTGTCACCAAGACAGAAAGTGATGGAAAATCCAACATTTTATAGTTGTCACAGGAACAGGAGATGAGGATACATTCCAATAGGGACTCCTGTTCCAGTGAAAACTGTCTTAGAAGGCATCTCCCCTCACTTTGGAGGAGATTCCCTATCATTTCTTGTTGTGTCTTCATAAGAGGAAGTGAAAACCCCCCACTGGCACAACCAAAAAATGATAGGTGAAAAAAAAAATCTTTTCCAAATGGCTCTACACAGTTTTTGTTGTTAAGAGTGTAGGAACACCACAATGCAGCAGATTTAGCATCTTGGAGTGGGCAGGGAGGATGAAAAGATTGAAAATATAATTTTTGTGGCTATTTTATCAAGGCACATCCTGTAGCTTGGCTGTTATGCTGACTCATGGCTTTAATAGTTTCTGATTTACTAACCTGGAAGCTCAGGGATGTTAGGGAAATTTAAGAAGTCTTTATCTGCATAATTTTTGTGGGTTAGTGACTAGAATTGAGGTCAAAGAATAAAAAACAGGCAACAGTCTATCCCCCTACCTGAAATTAAAATTTGAGAGGCCGCCTCTACTGTAAATATTTACGTTTTATTATTCACAAAGAAAATATTTACAAAATCCTCATGTTAATCACTTGCAATCACTTCCTGACCAGGCCATTTTTTGCTGTTCGGTTCTGCACTATTTCAACTGGTAATTGCGCGGTCGTGCAATGCTGTACCCAAACAAATTGTATGTCCTTTTTTTCACAGAAATAGAGCTTTCTTTTGGTGGTATTTGATCACCTCTACGGTTTTTATTTTTTGTGCTATAAACAAAAAAGACTGACATTTTTTAAATAAAACTATATATTTCACTTTTGGTTATAAAAAATATTCAATAAACTCAAAGTTAGTCGTAAATTTAGGCTAAAATGTATTCTGCTACATGTCTTTGGTAAAAAAAAATCTCAATACTTGTAAATGAAGCCATGCAAAGCAGTATGCACAAGCTGACAGGGAGGAGAACTGTTTTGTTTACAAACAGTTCTCCTACCCATCGGAGATCCTTGGCAATCACCAGGTGCTGATGAGTAATCACCGGCTGGGACCAGATGATTGACAGTCGCATCCGCGAAAGGCGGTGCTGGTAGGGCACACATGTGACCCCCTACCCGGAAATGAAAAATCAGGCATAGGGCGGACAGGGAGCAGTTAAGGTGTAACACCGCTGAAGTACTGCACTCTTAAAATCTCTCAATTTCCAGAATTTGGTGGAGATGTGGACAATCAATCAGTACTCTCTTCCACATATTTTGGCAAAGTCCATTGATGGAGCCATACTGTGAGAAGGTGGCTAGTTTTCTATCTGTCTTGGAAGTGATACTCCCTCTAGACCAGCAATGGGCAAACTACGGCCCGTGGGCCGTATACGGCCCAAAGGACCTTTTAATCCGGCCTGCAGAGATATGCTCCTCTCACAGTCCACCCTGAAGACCGGTGTAGCATGAAAATCTGTCTCCTATGAGGATCTGTCCCCCTCGACGTATCTGCGCATGTGCCGGAGATCGCCGATCGACTGCTAATGCCTGAAACTGGCACATGCGCAGATACGTCGAGGGGGACAGATCCTCATAGGAGACAGATTTCCATGCTACACCGGAACGGCGCGGGAACACGGCGAGAGGAACGCGCGGAGCAAAGGTAAGTGAATTGACACAGGGGGGACTTGGGGACTTAATATGGGGGATGAATTAATATGGGGAATGAATTATTATAGGGGGGGGGATGAATTACTATAGGGGGGATGAATTGCTATAGGGGGGATGAATTACTATGGGGGATGAATTACTATGGGGGATGAATTACTATGGGGGATGAATTACTATGGGGGGATGAATTACTATAGGGGGGATGAATTACTATAGGGGGGATGAATTACTATATGGGGGATGAATTACTATGGGGGATGAATTACTATATGGGGGATGAATTACTATGGGGGATGAATTACTGAATGAGGGATGAATTACTATGGGGGATGAATTACTATGGGGGTTGAATTACTATGGGGGATGAATTACTATATGGGGGATGAATTACTATATGGGGGATGAATTACTATGGGGGATGAATTACTATATGGGGGATGAATTACTATGGGGGATGAATTACTATATGGGGGATGAATTACTATATGGGGGATTAATTACTATGGGGGATGAATTACTATGGGGGATGAATTACTATATGGGGGATGAATTACTATGGGGGATGAATTACTATATAGGGGATGAATTACTATATGGGGGATGAATTACTATATGGGGGATGAATTACAATGGGGGATGAATTACTATATGGGGGATTAATTACTATACTTACTAAGGGTTAATATTACTATACTTACTATGGATGACACATACACATCATTCATCTACTCTTGGTCTGGCCCCCGGGTTCAATATATGAACCCATTGCGGCCCTCAAGTCAAAAAGTTTGCCCACCCTGCTCTAGACCCTGATAATTTTCTCTTAGGCCTCCCATTCCCTGCTATGCCTAAAACCTCTAAGAAACTTAGTACTAGGAAACTCATTCCTCTCCATTGGAGGTTAGCCTATATTCCCAATTTCTGATACTATGAGCTAAAGGCCTCCCATTCCCTGCTATACCTAACTAAGTACTAGGATGCTCATTCCTCTCCATTGGAGACTCATTCCTCTCCATTAGAGGTCAGCCTATGTTCCTTCTAAGACATACCAAGTGGAAGCAATTATGGAAGTTAGAAAGTTGGAGAATCTAATGGATAAGATTTTGGATAGTTTAGATTTTTATTACGTTTTGACATTGTGGTGCCATTCCTTATATGACCTTCCCTGTGTTCTCAATTTCTGATACTATGAGCTAAAGGCAGAACTTGATAATTCCTGTATACCTAGGTTGACATACTCTATATTATTTTTGGTGTTTGTTCTGGTGTGTTCTTATGTCTTTACCTCCCCTTCCTTCTTGACTCTCCATCTACCCCCTTCTTCTTTTTCATGTTACTAGCTCAGGTTAAAGAAGAATGCATACTATCTCAGGTTTTATAAGCGGGAAGACCACACAACTGATACTTGTATCTTCATTGCTATTTATAATGGACCATCACTGGATTCCTCTGATTGACATTCATTTACAGACAGTATACTTCACAGTGTTCCTAGTAATAGGATGAATAGTAAGAATGACAGGATCACTTTAAAAATACATTTAATGTTTTTTTAATAAGTGACAACCTTAAGACAACTACTGGCCATAACATACCTGGGCATACTGGGCGTAGTTGTTCAGCAGCTAAAGATTTACTAATGGCAAACGCTTGGAAACTATACTTTTGGCTCTGTTCCAAAGATAACTACGCAGGTGTGTTTTGAATAGAAAACCATTTCTGACAGTCTTACAATGTGCTTCTTTTTTATTTACAGCCAGTCAGGGTAATATACAGTTCAGTCCTCCTCTGTAGTTAATGTGGGACAACAATCACGGGGACAAGGGGGGCAATTATCACTAGTGCGCTCTCTATTTATGTGATAAAACACATCTGGTTTCATTCATGTCCTCTCAGCATGCAGATCATTAGGCTGAAAATATGGAGCAGGCAAGATAAAGTCAAAACAAATGAGCCAAGCATGAAGGATGGGCAGGTTTTACTGATTTGCAGTCTGTGGAGCTCTTCCTAGTTCCTCGATAAAGCCATTCAATTAGGAATTACCAGAAGATAAGGCACTAAAAGGGTCATATCATAATAAGGTGTAACCAGCACCAATAGGATGTATCCTAGAACAAGTGGCATATCGTCTTTCATCAGTCCACTGCGTCACACTGATAGAGCTTGTACCTTTTGAGGGGCCTGTCACTTTGCAGGAGATTTAAAGTGGACCTGTGTTACCAATAGAAATTTCTTGTATAAAGGTTTTCTAATTAAACATGTTTGTTGCTGTGTCTGTTAGTGCCTGACACTTCAATTCCGGACACGTTTTACCCCCTTCCTGTCCAGGCCATTTTTCAGCTTTCAGCACTATCACAATTTGAATGACAATTGTGTGGTCATGCAACACTGTACCCATATGAATTTTTTTAGCATTTTCTTGAGACAGATAAAACTTTATTTTGGTGGTATTTATTCACCACTGGGATTTTTATTTTTTCACTATATAAATGAAAAAGTCCAAACATTTAGAAAAAAAGTGTTTTTTTTTATACAATTTAGCAAATAATCTTTCTTTGTAAATCTTGGCCAAAATTTATTCAGTTATCTTTTTAGTAAAAAAAATAACCCAAATTAGTTTACAACCAAAAATTATAATTTTTCAACATTTTTTTTTTACATTTTAATTTTTTTTTAATATTATTATTTATGGGTTTTTTTACATACTGTCACCATAGTGACACTGTACTACTTTTGGGGGGTGATGAAGATTTTTTTTTTTGTTTACATTGATTGCTTTTACACCCATAACGGCTGTAAAAGCAATACATTCTCCTTTTCTCTGGCTGCATTCTTGCAGCCATTGAGAAATACTGTGTGAGCTGTGATTGGTTACATCTTGTCACATGGTACAAGGCTGTGGTGAATAGCCTTGTACCATGTGATCTCTTTGATCATTCACAGATTTCACATGTAGTAAGCAATGATGTCAGAAGTGACATCTTGCTTACCACTCTTCATGTGATCGGGACCTCATACAGAGGGCACCGGATCGCGGTGCTGCACACTCCCAGGGAGCGTGCACAAGCAGGGAGCGGAAGCCATTTACAGTCAGGTCCATAAATATTGGGACATCGACACAATTCTAACATTTTTGGCTCTATACACCACCACAATGGATTTGAAATGAAACGAACAAGATGTGCTTTAACTACAGATTGTCAGCCTTAATTTGAGGGTATTTACATCCAAATCAGGTGAACGGTGTAGGAATTACAACAGTTTGCATATGTGCCTCCCACTTGATAAGGGACCAAAAGTAATGGGACAATTGGCTTCTCAGCTGTTCTATGGCCAGGTGTGTGTTATTCCCTCATTATCCCAATTACAATGAGCAGATAAAAGGTCCAGAGTTCATTTCAAGTGTGCTATTTGCTTTTGGAATCTGTTGCTGTCAACTCTCAAGATGAGATCCAAAGAGCTGTCACTATCAGTGAAGCAAGCCATCATTAGGCTGAAAAAACAAAACAAATCCATCAGAGAGATAGTAAAAAACATTAGGCGTGGCCAAAACAACTGTTTGGAACATTCTTAAAAAGAAGAAGGAACGCACCGGTGAGCTCAGCAACACCAAAAGACCCGGAAGACCACGGAAAACAACTGTGGTGGATGACCAAAGAATTCTTTCCCTGGTGAAGAAAATACCCTTCACAACAGTTGGCCAGATCAAGAACACTCTCCAGGAGGTAGGTGTATGTGTGTCAAAGTCAACAATCAAGAGAAGACTTCACCAGAGTGAATACAGAGGGTTCACCACACGATGTAAACCATTGGTGAGCCTCAAAAACAGGAAGGCCAGATTAGAGTTTGCCAAACGACATCTAAAAAAGCCTTCACAGTTCTAGAACAACATCCTATGGACAGATGAGACCAAGATCAACTTGTACCAGAGTGATGGGAAGAGAAGAGTATGGAGAATGAAAGGAACTGCTCATAATCCTAAGCATACCACCTCGTCAGTGAAGCATGGTGGTGGTAGTGTCATGGCGTGGGCATGTATGGCTGCCAATGGAACTGCTTCTCTTGTATTTATTGATGATGTGACTGCTGACAAAAGCAGCAGGATGAATTCTGAAGTGTTTCGGGCAATATTATCTGCTCATATTCAGCCAAATGCTTCAGAACTCATTGGACGCCGCATCACAGTGCAGATGGACAATGACCCAAAGCATACTGCAAAAGCAACCAAAGAGTTTTTTAAGGGAAAGAAGTGGAATGTTATGCAATGGCCAAGTCAATCACCTGACCTGAATCCGATTGAGCATGTATTTCACTTGCTGAAGACAAAACTGAAGAGAAAATGCCCCAAGGACAAGCAGGAACTGAAGACAGTTGCAGTAGAGGCCTGGCAGAGCATCACCAGGGATGAAACCCAGCGTCTGGTGATGTCTATGCGTTCCAGACTTCAGGCTGTAATTGACTGCAAAGGATTTGCAACCAAGTATTAAAAAGTGAAAGTTTGATTTATGATTATTATTCTGTCCCATTACTTTTGGTTCCTTAACAAGTGGGAGGCACATATGCAAACTGTTGTAATTCCTACACCGTTCACCTGATTTGGATGTAAATACCCTCAAATTAAAGCTGACAGTCTGCAGTTAAAGCACATCTTGTTCGTTTCATTTCAAATCCATTGTGGTGGTGTATAGAGCCAAAAATGTTAGAATTGTGTCGATGTCCCAATATTTATGGACCTGACTGTATATATGTCCACCCACCCCTGCACTGCTCCCATCCAGCCATTTATATACATGGGCCGGACGGGAAGTGGTTAAAAGGGTTCACAGTTTCATAAAAAATATAAAGGTGAACTAACTCCTGGCCATTCCTCCGGACCCCACTGCACATAGCAGCCATGATACTCCATGCTTCTGGTGTAATGGTTCATACACCAAACACCGCAATACACAGCCCCCAACGTGAGTATCCATTAAATGTTCACAATGGCAAGCACTCATTGGTCAGCACAGTCAGGTGACCATGCTGATCAATAGGAACTATATCTGAGGCTTCTTCTTCCAGCAAGGTGTCCCAAAAGAAAGAGGAATAGCTCATTGGTCAGCACAGTCACGTGGTCACTCTGAATAATGAGTGTTTGATATTGGCAGTCATTCATTTTGTTCACACTGCTCCATCTTCATGTTCACTGTCTGCATATATTCTACCCACCTGATTGGCTCCTAGTGATGCTTCTCCTTTCTACATTTAAATGGTAAGTTCAACTTTTCAGAAAAAATTAAAAGGTGAACAAATCCTAATATCCTGGCCACCACTCTGTACCCTGCTAAACCTAGTGGCTGTGATGCCCACTGCTGCCAGTGTGGTGGTCTGTACACCGCAAATACACAGCCACGGAGTGAGTATCCATCATAATGCTTGCAATGGCAAGCATTTGTTGGTAAGAATGACTCCGTTGACCAATGAGAAATGCTTCTTTCTTCTGAGACACCTTACCAGAAGAATAGGCCTCAAAAGTACGTCTCTTTGGTCAGTACGCTGACTAATGAGTGTTTGCCATTGAGAGCAATACGATGGATATTCACTCCAGGGCTGTGTATTGCAGGAGTACAAACTGCTACATCAGAAACATAGGGCATCATGGATACTATGTGCAGTGGCCTCTGATGGGGTGGCCAGGATCAATGGAGTTAATTCATCTTTTCATTTTTCATGAAAAAGTGAACTAACCCTTAAAAGCGAAACTTTAGCTAAAAAAAGTACATTAACAAGCAGGAATTTTTTTTTTCATTGCAGAAGAGATGCACAATACGCTCCTGCAATATAGGACTCTCAACATACCCAAAAAAGAGGGGTTGTGGCGATCTTTTCTCCAACTTCTGGGTTTGGCATCTTTGACCATGCAGATTGGCCAGACCTGGAAAATTGTAACCTTTGTGTATGCAAATGTGAGTTATTCATCCTGGCACCCAGCAAATGCTTTGTACACTGAGTTGCACATGCACAGCTGTAATGAGTATGCAAGGGGTATGTTGAGAGAATAAGAGAGGGTGGAGGTTCATAAATATGCTGTATCACCCAATATATGGTTTCTGCCCAGTAACCAAAAGACATACATGCAAAAAAGAGGGGTTGTGAAAAGGAAATTTCACAGAAAAAGTGGTTACATCATGGACAGAATGCGATACTCAGAATAATTCCCAAAAATTATGCTTTATTACACAATAATTATAGACAATAGGGTAATACCCTGGTTCACTATCACCTCAGTATGAGATAATACACACAGACCTAAAATCACATAAAAGCAACATCAAGACCGGTCTTAATATAGATGTGCTGCATAAGCAATTACAGAAACCTGTCTAGTGCATTTGCAGTACCAACACATTGGTTACACCACCAGCAGGGGGTGTGTCAAAAAATTGTACTGTCAGGTATAATACTGTACAGCGCTATGCAATAATGGCTGATAACAGGCACCATATATTAATGAAATTATCCATAACCCAATCAAGGCAATGTGGGTGAAAAAATTGGAAATGTAAAAGGGGGGGGGGGGGGGTTCAGATGCTCCTAAGATAACAAGATGATAAAATGATAGAAATGCAGCCCCTATGTAGGGCACGAGTGAGTGGTGAACATGTACAGATTCACAGTGGACATGCCCATATGTAAAGATGCAGAGTTATTCATAAAGGAATCACTGTTGGTATCCTTAGTGAAATAAAGATGATAAAGAAACCTTCATGGGGTTTCTTCACCGCAACGTGCAGACTATAAACCACCTTAATATAGATGATAGTATGAAGCCTGCTGGGTCCTCCGTCTTTTGTAATAAATAATTGGTGCCTTGCACCTGGATAGTGAATCATATTGTCCCCATCCTGCAATAAATTGATGACAAATGGACAGTCAATCAATATATTCTTGCTGATGTATGTGTAGAATGGCGAAATAAACACCTTTTCATCTAGCTGTGTGACAGTTCAGTCACCACCTGAGCCATAGGTGATACTTTCTTGAAGTTTTCCTCCGTCTAGATTACCAGGCATGGTCCCGCTAACATCGGGACTGTGACTGGCGGGCTCCATTCTCCCCTTGGTGCCTGTGCAGCCTTGCACAGCTCGTGGCAAACACATATGGCCACTTCCCTGCTGGTCAGCGTGTATGGCGCCAATGCGTGTAACCGGAAGTGACGTATCTGATGTATGACGTCAACGCGTTTCGCCAATCATTTTATCATCTTGCTATTATAGGAGCATCTGAACCCCCCCCCCCTCCTTTTACATTTCCAATTTTTTTTCACCCACATTGCCTTGATTGGGTTATGGGTCATTTCATTAATATATGGTGCCTGTTATCAGCCATTATTGCATAGCGCTGTACAGTATTATACCTGGCGGTACAATTTTTTGACACACCCCTGCTGATGGTGTAACCAATGTGTTGGTACTGCAAATGCACTAGACAGGTTTCTGTCTTGATGTTGCTTTTATGTGATTTTAGGTCTGTGTGTATTATCTCACACTGAGGTGATGGTGAACCAGGGTATTACCCTACTGTCTATAATTATTGTGTAATAAAGCATACTTTTTGGGAATTATTCTGAGTATCGCATTCTGTCCATGATGTAACCACTTTTTCTGAGAAATTTCTTTTTCACAACCCCTCTTTTTTGTATGCATGTCTTTTGGTTACTGGGCAGAAACCATAAATTGGGTAATACAGCATATTTATGAACCTCTACCCTCTCTTATTCTCTCAACATACCCCTTGCATACTCATTACAGCTGTGCATGTGCAACTCAGTGTACAAAGCATTTGCTGGGTGCCAGGATGAATAACTCACATTTGCATAACAAAGGTTACAGTTTTCCAGGTCTGGCCAATCTGCATGGTCAAAGATACCAAACCCAGAAGTTGGAGAAAAGATCGCCATTGAGGGAGCTTCCAGACTTTGCGTTGCAGGAAGTTAGGGGAGTATAGTTCTGCTTTAATGTAAACCTGTCATTGTAAAGGTACTGAGTTGTCAACGTTAACCTTCTTCAGGAAATGCTAGTTGCCTGGCTGTTTTTCTAGCCTGCTAGGTTTAATATTAAGTGTAGCGCTACCCCCATAGGAGACGCTAAATAATGCTTGTCCTCTTGTGCTGCCCTGACACTGTAAACTCCCCACTCCTTCTGACGTATTGAACACCTCTTTAAATGATCAGCAGACACAATTTCAATTTAACACTGCAGGTTCTGTATTAATATTGTTTGAATAGGACACAAAATAAAAAGATATCAGATTGACACTAGTAAAGAAATCATGAATGGGCAAATCAAAATGTGTATCCAGCTATAAACATACTGAGCAACTGGGGTGCCCCATGAATGCTGAGAAACATACACATTCATTAAACCAGTGGTGGTGAACCTATGGTACACATGCCGCAGTAGGTGCACAGAGCCCTCTCTGTCGGCACACGAGCCAAGTCACCCCAGCAGCTAAGCATCGGATAACAGCGCACATAGGAGCCATGTGCATGCTTGGAAAGGAGTAGCAGCGCCAGGCGATGACATCACGAGCCGTGACTCCTTAGCTGCGACTCATCCAAGCTTTTGCATGGCCAATCAGTGTGCTGCTAAGGATATACTGTAAGTATTGGACTGGCTGTGAGTTTTAATACATTTGTTTTTATTAAAACAAGATTTTAGCTTGTGCTGGTGGCCAGTGGAACTTTGCCCCTTGTGCTGGTGGTCAGTGGAACATTGCCCCTTGTGCTGGTGTTCAGTGGAACTTTGGCCTCTTGTGCTGGTGGTCAGTGGCACTTTGCCCCCTTGTGCTGGTGGCCAGTGGAACATTGCCCCTTATGCTGGTGGGCAGTGGCACTTTGCCCCTTGTGCTGGTAGTCAGTGGCACTTTTCCCCCTTGTGCTGGTGGTCAGTGGCACTTTGCCCCCTTGTGCTGGTGGTCAGTGGCACTTTGCCCCTTGTGTTGGTGGTCAGTGGCACTTTGGTCCCTTGTGCTGGCGGTCAGTGTCACTTTGCCCCATTGTGCTGGTGGTAAGTTGAACTTTGCCCCCTTGTGCTGGTGTTCAGTGTCACTTTGCCCCTTGTGCTCATGGTCAGTGGAACTTTGCCCCCTTGTGCTGGTGGTCAGTGGGACTTTGGCCCCTTGTTCTGGTGGTCAGTGGAACTTTGCCCCCTTTTGCTGGTGTGCAGTGGCACTTTGCCACTTGTGCTGGTGGGCAGTGTCACTTTTCCCCCTTGTGCTGGTGGTCAGTGGCACTTTTCCCCCTTGTGCTGGTGGTCAGTGGCACTTTGTCCCCTTGTGCTGGTGGTCAGTGGCATTTTGCCCCTTGTGTTGGTGGTCAGTGGCACTTTGCCCCCTTGTGCTGGTGGTCAGTGGCACTTTGCCCCCTTCTGCTGGTGGTCACTGGAACTTTGCCCCCTTGTGCTGGTGGTCAGTGGCACTTTGCCCCCTTGTGCTGGCGGTCAGTGTCACTTTACCCCCTTGTGCTGGTGGTAAGTTGAACTTTGCCCCCTTGTGCTGGTGGTCAATGGAACTTTGCCCCCTTGTGCTGGTGGTCAGTGGCACTTTTCCCTCTTGTGCTGGTGGTCAGTGGAACTTTTCCCCCTTGTGCTGGTTGTCAGTGGAACTTTTCCCCCTTGTGCTGGTGTTCAGTGTCACTTTGCCCCTTGTGCTGGTTGTCAGTGGGACTTTGGCCCCTTGTTCTGGTGGTCAGTGGAACTTTGCCCCCTTGTGCTGGTGGGCAGTGGCACTTTGTCCTCTGTGCTGGTGGTCAGTGGCACTTTTCCCCCTTGTGCTG